TTTGACTGCAACATATAGAGTGATTCGGGATAAGATGGCAAGCGGGGGAAGATGCCTAATTTTTGATATTTTCAAACGGTGACGTCACATATTGTCATGTATTTGTATGATGAATCGTTGGGCCAATATTGAGTGTGGAAAGCTGTAGTTGGCTACCGTTACTTCATTTTCTACATCCGAGAAGAATAAAAGCTAGATAAGAATGAAGTTTTTGTTGTGAAATGTTTCTAAAGTAATTTTAAACTAAAAGTTAAAATACAATTTATTAAAAATTGTGAAAAACAATTAATGTATGATGTAGTTAGGTTCTAAAGTTTCCATTGTCAGCTACCACCGATCTCGATCGGACATGCTGGAGCACGTGACTCTACTAGGCATCTTACCCCCCAAAAATCCCAAAAGATACCACATTTTTCTTGGGATAACATGCCTATTTTTTTGTTAATTGAATTCCAATATGCCTATTTTTAATAAATGTTTGTTTTTCTCGTTTTATGGCAGGATATGCATAGAAATTATATAAGGACTTCTCAAAAAGGTTTTTGGACTGAAAAAAGCTTTCAGCTAGCTATAGAGCATGTTAGAACAGGCAGAAACTTAACAATACTTATACTGTGCTGTTATACTTGCTATGAAGTACTTTGTACTACGTATGCAATAAATTAAATTTGGTTAAGAAATTCAAAAATTAATTTTATGCAATTATATTTGTTATGTTACCCTAATGGCATTTGGCATCTCACCCGGATACTTGGGGTGAGATGCCTAAAATGCCAGACAGTGAAAAAGTCATCATTGCAAACACAATATACAATTTTTTTTAATAAATTCCAAAGTTTTATTTGAAAAACATACTCCAGAATATGATATTTTCATTAGAGGGCTCCTAAACCCAAATTAGCGCTGTAATTTCCTTCATAAGCAAAATGTTAGGCATCTTCCGCCGAATCACTATACATAACTTTATTTCCCCCAAACATATTTATGTAGCTAAAATTAGTTTTAACTAATGTTAAAAGTTAAAACTAGTTTTAACTAGACAAAACTGGTTTTAACAAAGACATCCAGTATAATATATATATATATATATATATATAAGGGAAGAAAAACACCATTTTCAGTAATTTACGGGATAATCATTGAAAAGAACGTAATCCAACCCTTCGGGAGAGAGGGTCCGCATCGGGAAATAAGGGAGCGGTCGTCAATTCCGCGATCCGAAATGTCTAACCCCTCGATAAGAGATGGTGGTCAGCACCACGCGATCCAAATCGCGTCCCTATCAACAGCCCGGGGACCAATTGGGATGACAAAGACAACAATTCCGGACCAATTGGAAACCAAAATTCGGAGAGAAATTATATTAAAACCCGCGTTCTCATGAACACGAGGTCGTCGTCGTCGTTGGCGAGTATTGCCATCCGCTCCTCTGATTTCCATCTCGAAGTACTTCCCGCCTTTTCCGAGCCAGTGTGTGAGACTGAGTTACAAGTCTACACGAGCCGAAGTTCTCTTTCTCTCGACCAGAAGAGATACATTTTGGCATGGAACGAAGACCAAAATGCGAAAGACACCGCAACGCCTCGCTTTCTCCTACGACCGTCATCGGAAGCCACCTCCTCGTGGGTCTCCTCTGCACTTCTCACCCAATGTCTTTGCACCTCTCTCTCTCTCTCAAGATCCGCAAACCCCAATTACATATTGTAAACATTGATTCGTTGCCTTAATAAATCTGTAATTATCTGTAAATCTATACCAGTGTCCGGCACCATTACTCCCATACAATCCTAACCTCTCGCGTCATCCTGACAGAATGCGAGAAAGGTCAGCAACCCTTTCTTTTACTTTAAGATAGGAGAGTCTACATTGAACGAAAGCATCGGTAGACACCAGACAGTCATGTGGCCTTACAAAATGATTATATGTTCTGCATCGCAGCACTTTGAAATCCCCTCTTGTTACTGGACATTGTAACGATTACTGAGTATCTAGGGCTTTCATAAATGTGATCTTCTTTTATTTCAATACGAAAAAATATATTTAAATATTGAATTTTATGGTAAACATTAATTTTCAGACATTTTATTTCAGCAAAATTTAGTAATTACAGATGTTCTGTTCAACCAGTCATAGAATAATCTAACCATTCAAATTCTTTAATTTCATAAACAAAGAACGAATAACCATTGAATAATTACAAAATTTAATTTTTTTAGAGCTAAGAAAGAAGTTTTCCTGTAATTTTAGTAATTTGACTGCAAATTAAATTAAAAATTTTCAAATTTTTAAATTCAAAAATATCCTTTTATGTATGCTTAGCAGACAGAAGGTCATGAAAAAAACATCAAGGCTATTTTAAAAATACTAAAATTTTGTTATATAGATTTTTATTTGGCGAAGATACTACAGCAAAGTGAGGACAATAAGTTCTTTTCGTTTTGTTAATTCTTTTATTAATATAACAAGGAGTTAACAATACGAAAAAAAATCTTATTCTCTGTCGTAATAATCACTAAAAAAGATTCTAAATACAATAATATTTTAAATTTTAAAAAGAAATGAATATTATCATCTTTATTTATCAAATTTTACTATTAAAAACTATAAACTATTTAATAATCGCTAGTATTTTTTTTTTTCAAATTAAATAAACTGTGGGTCACTTTCAATCACTTTTTTTCAAGGATATCATAAATTTGTTGACAAGGATTTTACTTGATTAATATTTATACTTGTATTTCGAATAATTTTATTATGATATTCACATACACGTAACCCAATTGTTTACTTAATACTTGAACAAACTGCTAACGTGAAATATTTTAATTGATAAAAACGAAAGAATTATAATATATAAAATCTTTACAATTCTTCATCTGTGCCAATTAAACAACGTAAAAGATATAAATTTGTACTGTATTTATGTTTCTATTGTTTACAACAGTAGTTTTCAACATGTGCTCAGCGAACTTCTCGTAGGGAGTGTCACTCGACCTTCATAGCTTAAGGCTAGATGCATATGGAGTTAAAAATTTAATGCTTTTTAATGTAAAATCTTTTTCTAAAATCCTCGAAAACGTAAGCAGAAAGAACAGAACAATTTTTTTTTTTTTTTTTTGTTTTAAAACCCTATTTGATTCGTATATTAACGTACGGTTCAGAATTTTGAAAATTCGTTGGTTTTCTACGAACTTTTTAGTGCCGTAGAAAATTTGTAGACAATCAACAAATTTATACACGTGCTTATCTATTACCAATTACAGTCTCGTTTATTCTTTATAAATTTTTAGTGAATCATGGTGGGTCACAATGGGTCACGGTGATCAAGTTACTAATCTAAAAGCCGTCGTATGTGTGTGAATTCATTATACTCCAGCAATTTTTATCCAATCCAGATAAATTTTTGATTATATTAATGTTAAAACTTATTAAAATTTGAAATAAATAATTAAATATGAAGTTTTATGTTACAATATTCATTTTAAATATATTACGTAGGTCTATATGTTCAACAAACGTTTTATTGAATTTTATACAGAATGTTTTTAAAATGTATCTATAATTGTCCATATTTAGTTCAAATTATTTTAATTTACAAACAGCGGAACGTTGGGCAAGTTTCTAAAGGCAATTATCATACCACTTTTAAATGCAAATCAAGATTTAATATTAATTGCTTAACAACATCGAAGATTAAGAATAAAAGTACGAAATAATCTGTTAGATTGTTTCGTACTTCTAACCAAGGGCGTCAGGATTTTCCCCAGGGGACAAAAATAAGAAAAAGTTGTTTATTAAAAAATTGGTTTTATTTGAACATTTGATAACGCTGAAAGTAATTAATTGCAATGCCATTCGAACCTATTTAAATCTTATCTCCGCACTAGCCTACGGGAGTACTGTCAAAATTTCTTTCTCAAATTTATTTTTAGCTTCCAGAACCCTCTTTTTATGCACACTCATCATACAAGCCGATTTTCTGTCATTGTTGACCGTATCCAAGTTTTTACCCTGCGTAAGGTGCTGAAGGATCTTTCAAGAGGACACGTTATGCAGGACTGTGCAAGTGAGATAAGTAGCGCCCGTTTTATGGATGGGTAGAACAATTGCGTTTTTTTTAAACTAGTTCTATCTCCTTCAGTTCGGCATTTGGCACATTTTCCCCTTTTCATTGGTTGTACCAAAGTTCAGCTTCACCGAGAAAATAATTCAAATTGTAGTAACTACAAAAAATTGTAGTGTTTTTTAAATCCTCATACGTCATATAAAACATTACGTGAGGATGCAATGTAAGCAATGAGAATGCAGGTAAGTTCTCCTCAGAAAAAAGCTGTTCCAGATACATTATTAATGAATCTATGTACGGAATAATTAGTGATCTTCTCCAAAACTTTCTAGGAGTCTGTGCTAGTGGATTCGCACGATGTTTCTGATGATTTATGACTCGCGGCATATTGAAATCTGTTCCAAGATGCTTGGCGATTGTTTCAGCCTCTGCTATAACACTTTGACTTTCAACAACCGCATTTCCGCGGTGTTTTCTCATGATGTCTGTGATTTTTTATGTGATTTGCGCAATTGAAGTAAGTCTACACTTTTTGACTGAAGAGCATTTACCTCCAGTTGTGGGAGCGCTGAATATTTTGGTCTGAGACAAACACTAACAACGAATTCTGATTTTGTAGCAGCGCAATGCATTTGAAAAGCAAATTTTCTCGTTACATTGATACCATATGTTGATAGTTTTTCAAGCGCCATAACGATTTGCACATAATGTTCTTTGAATGTGGCGATACTTTTATATTTTTGAGACCAACGGGTTTCGCAGAGCATTGATATATTCGGTATGCATTTTCGACTAAGGGTCGATTCTCGGAAGAATCTTATTATTTCTTTTATTGTGGAGACCGTATTTCGTATCGCTGCTATTTCGTTTAAGTCGTTTACAACTAAGTTTAATTTGTGACTAGCGCAGTAAAAGTATAACGCTTTCGTATAGCCTACTTTTCTCGAAAAATTTTCTGGACACCACCATCATTTTCTGCCATAGTGGAACACCCATCGTATTCTTGTCCGACGTACTTTTCAGGATCAAGGAGTACCTTTTCTACAGAGTTGTTAATTGTAGATGCTACAGATTTTGCAACTATGTCAGTCAACTCTACAAAACCTAGAAATTCCTCACGAATCATCATATTTTCTTCGTCAAAAAATCTAACCCCAATAGAAAGTTGATCTTTCCCTGATATGTCACTGTTCTCGTCTGACAGGATACTGTAAGCACATGCTTTCTTTACTTCAGTAGTGATGTTGTCTCTAATGATGTTGCCACATAGGCCGATTACTTCATTTTGAATCTGCGGTGACATGTAAGTGGCATTTTTTGCGCCTTTTTCTATGTGCTCTTTTAAAATGTGGTCACCAGCATCAATTTTGAGTTTGATCAAGTCTTCAAAAACGTCTTCATGGTGTTCTTTGCCCCTCAAAGGTGGGTCATGTGTACCACAAAGCATCACAGTCAAAATTATCGATGCAACAATTTTCTTGTTGGCTTCTATTTCTTGTTGGTGGACAGAAATCAGCTGTACATCAACGGGTATATTTCCAACAAAACATTTTGCTGCTGTGGCCGCCGATTTCTGCCACTGAGATAACGTGTGAGATTTCGCGAATTCGTGCATGTCTTTATAGCGAATAAAGAGTCTCACTATGAAAGAATCCAAAAACATCATGCACATTAGTTGGTGTAAACAACACACAATAAATGCACAACACGTTCTTTAATTTCTTGGAATACGCCAGCCAAGGAGCATAATTCGCACTTCAGTCCGGGCCATCGTCAGAGCCTCTGATTTCTCAGGGCTGAAGGACAGCTTGTGCAGCTCTTCCCAGCGAACGAGCTAACCAGCTGTATTTGAATTTTTTTTTAATTGCATAGCATCCTTAGCAAAGTCATAACTTGGAGTTGTTGACCAACAGTTTTTTAAAACTTCCATTTTTTTGAGATGAGGTCATACTAAACGAACGTCCAAACCAGTGATCCACATCATTATCAAAATATGTTTGATCTTGTGCACCAGAATCAGATGGTAGCGTAGATCCACTTGATGCACTTAAAAAAACCGTAGGTGCAGGTGTATGTGCAGTTGCACATACGCCAATATTCTGCTTCGATTTCTCTTCTCAGCCGCTATCACTTTCGCTACTACTTTCGACTGGTTGCTTCCTCTTCTCTCTTCCTAAACGAAAATAAATAACTACTACTACACTTCCCAAAAATATTAAAATAACTAGGAATTTAAGCTTTTGAACGGACTCTTTACACAAGAAACTTCAACCTTAAAAAACCTTTAGCATTTTGTATAAATTTATTTTAATATTTGCAACTAGCAGAAGTAGCTAGTTGCAAAATCAATCATTTCAAAACCATCTAATTAAGCAAAACTGCTGCAAAAGTAGCTAATTACAATTTTCAATCGTCATTTAAAATTATTGGAATGTGGTATACTTGTTAAAATTTCCTTATTTAGTATCGTATGAATTTTCTTAAAATTTCAATAATAAAGACAACATCAAAATCACTATTACAAATAAAAAAACAGTCTCCGCATTTCCTAAAGATTTCAGGTTACTTTAATTAATTAGATTGTTTTGCAGCATACCATTCGTGCTAAAAAAGTTTCTAATATCCATGTTAGATTGCTATTGTTACAGAATTGCGGTCCAGAAATTAAATAAACGAGTGAAAAACGTTAATAGATTTATTAAAACACTTACAAAATACAATAGAAATAAATACAGCACTTAGTAATTCGACCATAGTAGTAGTTGTTCTTCTCCCGGAAAAGAGGATGCCCAATGACTACTAATTAATTCTGGTCTACTATTAATATTTGAAAACTGATCTGTGTTAGACAGGTTATGATGGCCCAGCATGTGATGGAAGTTGCTAACCTTAACCTCCAAAAGACTTCATATAAAATTTGTTAAAATAAAATTATACGAATATACGAACTTTCTATTTAAACCGAAAGTCGCATTCTTTTGATTGAAAGTTTTCCCCCGAAAAGAGCTAAATAGATGACCAGCACAAGTTTATTGCTGACAGGAAAGGTATGATATACAGAGGAAGACAACGCTAAAAGAATTGAAAACATTGTGACGAAAGTTGCAGCCCGGCATTGTGACGATATCACAATAAATAATCGCTCGATACAATTAGTTTGGTTTATTTGGTTATTTTTTGGTTATTTTATTTGGTTGGCAACATGCGACACGTGAGCGATCTTCCGAGGGGATGCATCCCGGGAAGACTTTTATGGGAAGCTGGACCCTATTTAGGTGTTACTAACATGAAGAAAATCCGGAAAACTTTACAATGGCCAGCCCATTGGCCATGCTCGAACCCACGACTAACTAACTACCAGAGTTCGATGGTTTTTATTCACTCTGCTACTGGAGGGCGCTTATTAGAATTAAGAAAGAACCGTTCAGAAATAAAAAACCCGAGTTGTTAGATGTGGAAAATTAAATACTTATAGGATATTCATAGGCTTTCACAAGCTTAAACATTTTCGATTCCATGCAGTACCTGTATTACCATGTATTACCTGTGTCAGTAATGATATAAGGCATCTATTTTGCGTTATAATCATTGCCGCAATAAGTGAATATAATACAATTTTTAAAAAATAATATCCTTTTTTGTAAAAATTATATTTAGTTTATTTTGTTAGATTTTTTGCCAATCGACGGTGCTACATATAACTCAGAAAATCAAATGCAGATAGAAATTATTTGATTTATAGAATGTAATCGATGCTTTGGGGTGGAATGTACGAAATTATCCGAGTTAGAAGTATGTAAACGTATCTCCCGAGTTTTATAGCAATTCTTCGAACGGCCTAGGAGTGTATAGCGAACAAACAAACAAACATCCTCATTTATATATATATATATATAGATTATCATACACATATATATCACTCGTATCAGTTTTTTCACTTTTTTGGGTTTAGAGTTGTAAAAACTTTGTGTTACGTTATAACAGCCAAGAAAACAACAGGAAAGTAAAAATTTGTGATGATTGCAATACTTTCCGGTGTTATATTATAACAGCTGAAAAAATAAAAGTAGTCTGATAATTCGCATTGACAGTGATGAAATGCTTTGAAATGTTGCGTGCCTTCAATCGATATTAATTAAAAAAGTTCATACTTATTATTTATTATATTCATATATAATTAATGTAATCAGAATTAAAGAAATCATAAACTGCGGAGACAGTGAGACAGAGTCCAAGTGTTTGACTACCGACTCAATAGCCCTGTTATTAGCAATAGCAATGGTGCAGAGAAGTAATTATTTTATGGAATTTTATCAACAGAANAGTATAAACTAGTTTCAACTAGTTAAACGCGTTCTAACTAAAAACGGGTTTTGACTGTAACATATATATTATATTCACTTAATTACTGCAACAATAATATAAAAAGAAGTAGACATGCTATATTATTACTTTAATGAGTAGAACATAGCACTAGCCTGTGTAGAATCAAAACTGTTATACTGGTAGTTGATCGTAGATTCACAAACTGGCCATGTAGAGTTTTCCAGGTTTTCTTCAAGTTAGTGACACTTAAATAGGGGCCAATTTCCCATAACCTTTCCCGGAAGGCATTCCTCTCAGCAGCTCACCTGTGTCAAGTTAAGACTCATGGATGTGCTGCTAAGTTAAGAGAAATATGTTTTAAGGTGTTTTCAAGAGTGCCAAGTCCATTTTATTTGGTCCATTTTTCATGAAATTTGATTCACTGTCAGATTACCATTTGATATTTGACTGTGAATCATATCATACAGTACCATTCTCTGAAAATATTAGAGTTAACATGATCAATGAAGTATTAGAGCTACTTAACCAAGGAAAAATTATGCCATTTTGTACCATCTGAGTATTGTGAAAACACAACAATGGTACACTAAAATAACCAAACTCTTTATATGGTTTTTGTTTTAATATTTGTTGTTATTTTTTGCCCTGGCAATGCCATATGATAATTGAAATAGCAAAATAACCAAGAAAATATAAATATTCCATCAGATATGTATGTCATTTATGTGCTGATTATTCTGCTGATTGGTAATCTATACTAATATTATAAAGAGGTAATGTTTGTAAGTAAGTTTGGATGTAGCTGGTAATCTCTGAAACTACTCATCCAATTTCAAAAATTCTTTCACCAATATTTAGAATGGAACTTCAGGGTGGACATAGGCCAGGGGTGGCCAACTTTTGTGTACATAAGATCTACTTTTCATCTTAAAAATGTGTCGCGATCGACTCGTTGTCGTAGGCATAGTCTAAGTCAGGGATGGTCATTCCGTGGCCCGAGTCACATAAAATGTGTATAAATATATCAATTTGCTAGCTTAAGAAGTATGCAGCAAAAATTCAAATGTTATTTTCTACAACTTATGTATGTGAATAGTTTTTCCTGCAATGAATTTAGCAGAAATTAAAACAAGCAACCGGCTAACAGACTCACCTCGAAACTAATTTAAAACTAGAAGTGACTAATATTTAATCAAATATTTTTGATACATTACATTTACATCAGTTCTAAAAGCTAAATTAAGTATACCTAAAAACGAGAAACCAGCTAACAGACTCACCTCGAAACTAATTTAAAATTAGCAGTGACTAATATTTAATCAAATATTTTCGATACATTACGTTTACATCAGTTCTAAAAGCTAAATTAAGTATACCTATTCTATTTTATAATTATATATGAATAAATAATTGTAATTTACTGGCATTTTCACCCCTCTTTTATCTTATATGTGGCCGGCGTTAGTTCAAAAGTTTTGAAATGCGGTTCTTACACAGAAAAAGGTTGCCCATCACTGGTCTAAGTGGCGAGGGGAGGGAGGTGTGAAATACATACTAAGTTTAGATAGAAAAGATAAGCCACAATTTAATTTAAAACATGAAGAAAAGGTACTTACATTTTAAACAGAAGAAAAATTGAAACTCAACGTTGTAACTTTCGGGGACCACCACTTCACCCTTCTTCTCTCTACCGTGTCCCGACCTACTCTCTGTGTCTCTTCTTTTTTTTGTGACCCTTTGTCTACATTTCTTTTTACAACTGTACGCAAATGGATTGCACATGGACCGACAAAACCGCATCTGAGGGGGAACGAGGAGGTCTGATATCACTACAGTTACGTTTACGCGTTGCGTTCGGTTACAACTTACAAGTGTAACACATTAAGTCAAGACATCACGAGTGATTGACCAAAATTGGCTTTGCGATCGACTTGTTGGCCACCCCTGCTGTATATTATTCCATTAAACATTCATATAAATTAAAAGATATAATCTAGGTTAAAGCTTTTATGTCCCAACAGATGGCACTACGAGTACGACACCCTAAGTTTGCTTTTCTGTGAAAATGAACTAAAGCAGATCATCATCTATCTATCTATATAAATAAAAATGTAATGTTCATTTGTTCCTACCAATTCCTTTAAAATTTTGACACAACGCTGCATTCGAATACACGCGTGTTTTTATATAATATACATGTTGAAATTCCCCCCACTAAAGGGAGATGGTTAGGATTAATTAAGGCTTACCGTAAAGAACTCTGCTTCTATTTATACTATTTTAGATGCA